TTTAAGCTTAGCTGTTCCCTGCGTAGACTTAGTGGCATTTCTCCTGTTAAGGCCTGAAGTGAAGTGTAGGAGGTGCCATGTTGGGTGCGTGTAATTAATTTGAGAGCCTGATATTGTATTGAGTCAAGTTTTTTAGATAGAGAGTTGTTTAGGGTGTTGTATATGGCGCAGCCGTAGTCTAGTTTTGATCTAATTAGTGATATGTAGAGTGAGAGGAGGGTATCTTTGGAGGCTCCCCAGTTTGAGCCAGTTAGGCATCTTAGGGTGTTTAGGTCTTTACTGCATTTAGTTGTTAGGTTTTGGATGTTAGCATCCCAGGTGAGATGTTCATCGAAAATAAGTCCTAAGAATTTGGTTTGTTTTTGAAATTTGATTGTTTGGTTGTTTAGCTGGAGGATTGGGGAGGCGGGTTTCATGTTTTTATGTTTGAATACTATTCCTGTTGTTTTTTCTGAGTTAAGGGAGAAGCCCCATTTGTCAGCCCATTGTTGTATTTTATTAAGAGATTTTTGGAGTAAATTTTGGGCCATTTTAATGCTTTTAGTGCGGATCCAGAGGGCTCCATCATCCGCGAATTTTGATCTGTTTATTTTAGGGGATAGGCCCTCGAAGAGATCGTTTATCATTATATTAAAGAGTGTGGGGCTGAGGATACTGCCCTGGGGAGTGACATTTTCTAGGGGACACTGGTCCGATAGAGTATGGTCTATCCCCACTGTTATTTTACGTTCGTTTAGAAAGTCCTGGATGTAGTTTATTATTTGTCCTTTTAGTCCTATTTTTTTAAGTTTTTGTATTAGCTCGTTGTGCCAAACCATGTCGAATGCTTTGGAGAAATCCAGAAAGATGCCTGTTGTGTATTGTTTGTGGAGTTGTCCTGTTCTAGTGCGGCGAGATTATCTAAGGTTGAGCGGCCAGGAGTGAAACCGCTTTGATCTGTGTTTATGATGTTATTTTGAGTTAAGTAGTGTTGTAGTCTATTTTTGGCCATAGATTCCATTACTTTACATAGGTTTGAGGTTAGGGATATTGGTCTATAAGAATTTGCCTGGTTAGTTGGTTTATCGGGTTTAGGGATAGGGATGACTAGTGCCTGTTTCCAGGGAGTTGGTACCTGTCCGTTTTGATAGATTAGGTTATATCGTTTAAGTAGTGCCTGGAGTAGGTTGTGTGTGTGTGTGTGTGTGTGTGTGTGGGGGGGGGGGGGGGGGGGGGGGGGGGAGTTTTTTAATTATTTGGTAGGATGTTAGGTCTAGTCCTGGGGCAGTTCCCTTTTTCCTATTTTGGAGTACGTACTGGAGTTCTTCCATTGAGTAAGGTTGGTTTATTTCGAGGTTATCATTATTTGGTTCTTTAGTAGGTTTGGCTTCTGCTTTAAGTTTTTGTTGGAATTTTTCGCTGAAGTTATTGTTGCTGCTTATGGCCGAGAAGTGGTTTGCTAGGTTATTTGACTTTTCGGTAGGGTTGGTTGATTTGTTTATGTTGGGTGGTTTTTTTGTGACGTTTTAAGCCTCTAATGGCGTGGATTTTTCGCCAGACTGTTCTGGCATCTGTGCGATTATTTACTCCTTCACAAAATAATTTCCAATCTTTGGTTTTAGCTATTTTTACTAGTTTTTGGACCTTGTGGTTTAGTTCGTGAGCTACCGTTATATGGTTATGGTCGCGTTTGGCTCTATTGAAGGCTGTTTTACGTTTGCGTCTAGTTTGTTCTATTTCCTCGTTCCACCATGGTACCGAGGGTTTGCCTACGTTATTTGTTTTATAAGGTATTGATGCTTTGGCTGCGTTGATTATGTAGTCTGTTAGGTTTTTGCAGTAGATTTCTGGGTCCTTATTTTCTAGTTTGGTTAGGTTGGCTTGGTTGCAGATATCCTGAAATGTGTCCCAGTTAGCTTGGTAATAGTTGAATTTTGGTTCTAGGTTTTCTGTTTGGGTAGGAACGTTTGTATTGCCTATGGTAATGTTTATAGGGAAGTGGTCACTACCTAGTGGGGCGTCGTGAACTTCCCATTGAGTACTTTGGGCCAGATTTGGGGTGCACATGGTTAGGTCGATAGCCGACATTTTATTGTTTTTCTTATCGTATCTAGTTGGTTGGTTATTATTTAGGAGTACAAGGTTATTTGTTTCTATCCATTCAGAGATTAGTTTGCCATGATTATCTATTTTTTTCATCTATGCTCCAGGTGGGGTGGTGAGCGTTAAAGTCTCCTAGAAATATAGTTGATTTATTGCTTATTTGGAGTAATTTGTTTAGGTCCTCAGCTTGAATGTTTTGTTCTGTCCAGTGGTATATGTTAATGATGTTTATTTTTGGGGTTTTGAGAGTTATTTGGATGCCGTTTGCTTCTAGGTTTGGTGTGTTTATTTTGATTTCTTCATAGTTAATGTCTTCTCTGATTAGTATTATTAATCCTCCTGCGGCTCTAGCGGTTTTAGGTTTGGCTCGGTCTGTTCTAACTGAGTTGTAGTTTGGTAGAGTAAATTTAGATTTTTTTGAGAATTTGGTTTCTTGGATGCAGGCAATGTGCGGACCCTTATCTTGTTTAAATTTTGCTTTTAGTTCGTGGCCGTGGGAATTAAGTCCGTTGGCATTCCACTGAAATATGTTTAGGCCTTCCATTATTTGGGCTTTTAGTGTTTGGAGGTTAGGTTTGATTTAGGCAAGGGGTTTTTACTTGGTTGAGGTAGGGCTAACTAATTCGAGGCCTATGCTGAAGAATTCGTAGGTAAGGGTTGTCAGTTTAAGCTTATTTGCTACGGAAAGCTTTAGCGCTAGCGTTTGGGTTTATTTCCTTTAGCATGTATGCGAGAAGGATGGTTAAGTTGTTTAGTTTGTTGTTTGACATTTGCTGAGGCCTGCGTTTAAAGATTTTGGTTTTTTGGGGGGTTGAGAGAGTTATTTCGTTATGTCTTCCTCGATTGTGCATTCGTATTCTTCTGTGTTGTTAAGTTTAGTTTGTGACGTTTCTCGGTGGAGGCTTTTGTAGAAGGGTAGCGCTTCGTCTAAAAATAGCGACCAATGAAAAATTACATAACATAGTGTATGTTTCTCACAGCCATCGTCTGAGACGTCTCTTAATATTTATGCGTGACCCTGGGATCAAACTCCAAAACGAGGCTATCCCCGCAAGCTTTCAAAATGGCATCGGAGCATCGCCGTGTCCTCGAATGCGTTTCCGATGCGAGGTGAGATACATCTATGAGTTTTCATCGTTGTTCCGGTCGATTTATCTTTTCGGAAACGATGACTTGCAGCCATCCGACAAGTTATAGGGAAGTTGTTCACCGTAAGTAATAATTTTCATTCATGTTTTTGCAAAACTGATGAGCGAATATCGCTTATCAACTATTGATTTTATCGCAGCTACCATGACGTTTTAGTACGAAGTACTCGTGCTTTTTCTGAATACAATATTGATTTCTTTTTTCGTCCCATTAATACTACATACTATCATATATAATTCATATATATAGATCTATATATATATATCCTGGGTGTCGTTGTACAAAGCGATATTAGCGTGTCGGTGATCGTAACTTCCATACCTTAACATATGGACAGTCTTAAAATTAGGTCTAAGGTTGTTTTGTACAACGGCACCCGGGAACTAATATTTATACTAATGTAGGTCACATGATGATAACATATAGACTTTCAAACAATTACATTTATTCTGGTCAGAATATACATATTTCTAGATTGGAAATGGACTACACATATAAAGCTAATATGAATGCATATACAGACATAAATAAATAATGTATAAAACAGTTACAGTAGTTTTAATTTATGCTTTATTGGATTCTTTTTACGATTTATATTCATACACAAATTAAAAATCAATTTGGGGACTTGAATGAATTGAATGTTTTAAATTTCAGTCCTTGATTTGTGTGTTGTAAACAAGTATGCCCCTGTGCAAAGAATACTGAAATCAGGGACAATCCCATCCATATTTGCATGGACTGTGGCCACAACACCAAGGAAGCCCCCCTTGATCCTATAGGCCAGAACGTCTTAGTGTAAGAATGTACAACTATCCACTATAATAATATGTGTATTAATAAATGTCATAAATCAAGATTGAATTATAATTAATTCTTTTTACTTTATTTATGAAACAATTATATTAAATCAGTATTATTTTGTTTGTAGTGTGAGGAGAACCTGGTTCCAGGAGGAGGTGTGATGGACATGAGGTTGAAGGGAATGATCATTCCACACAGAATGTGGGGTGTGAGGCACAATTTGAAATAAAGGAGATGCAGGTCCATGTTGAACAATGGGAGAACCATCTACTCCATTACCATCTGGCTCTTGAGAATTTTGGAGTATCAAGAACTAGAACTGACCCGTTTCATGCACTATTATATTTCATTACTGACTGTGATACTTTCAAGTGATGTTTTTATTTTGATCAACCCAGTGCCACAAAAATGTGTAGCATGTATTATGTTTGTTCTGGCACTGTTTCCTTGGCTGGAAGACCCAGGACTATGCTGTTGACTGCACTGAAATAAAAGTTCCAATCCCATCGGCCTTTGTCCTCAACTCAAAAGTTTTATACACCTTACAAAACTAGCCGCCCACTCTAAAGCCTGATTGGTATAGCCCCTCACGATGCTTTGAACTTTGTATCATGTTTGTCTACAGCTGGTATATCTGATGCTGAGATGACAATGCTGTGAAGTGTTTGGTATTTTTCTTGATCTTGTACAACCTGGTGATAGTGTGGGGGCAGACCAAGGCTTTACTATTGCCACTACATTGCACACAAGAAATAGTCTCAATATTCCCCCTTTCCTATTGAACTGTAGTCAGCTTTCAGCCGAATAAATAGGAGAAATACAAACCTTAACATCCTTGAGAGTCCATGTTGCAGAATTTTCAAAACTATCAATCAGCTGTGGACAGTTGCTTGATTATGGTTTCCCTTGCACACTCTTATTGAATTGTGCTAAAATTGCCTGTGAGAGATAAAAGTGTCAAATCGTTTGAGACGCAAATATTTTATTACAAAATGTACATACATTGTATTTAAACTGATGTCCATAGCACTGGCTCGATCTGTCTGATGGCACAGAAACAGTTTGCTGTAGAAACCTTCACTTCAGAAAAATCTGAAAAAATACATTGAAGTTGTGAAGAAAAACATGCAGATGTCAATTGTGTGAATGCAATTTAATAAGTGTTCTACTATTTAACACTTCAAACATTGTGCTGGGTCACTTTTTAAAAATATAATTTGCATTAACTGCATGGTCTGTTACCCAGAATTATTGTTGGAGTTTAACGTAACTTCCATACCCATTCATACAAATTAATTTGATGAATTGAACATGAATACGACATATTTATATCATAGTCCTTACCTCTAAGTTATGTGGGATTTCACATGAGTCGGGCCACAGCTAGGAATCCTTTGGACGACGCTGGAAATATAATGATTACAAGATACACACATTCAACTATAAAACAGAACTGAATTTAATGGAAGATTTATGGATGGTCGTGGATGATTAGGGTTTATACAAAAAAACCTATTTAGATCTATAGCCAAAAACATTTGCATTTATGACGGTTGCAATATACGTGACACAGTATAAACATGATAAACTATAAGCTTAATAATAATCATATTTAATTAGATCTATAGACTACCGTAATACCCCAAAACACAAGAATTAAAATAAACAAAATATAGCGCTTACACACATTTAAAGGGCTGGTTATCAGTCATTATGGCTGTCTTAGCCCATTCATGTTACGCCCATCAATATTAGTTCAAAACAACAGCATATGCCATGAAAGGTAACGTGACCTGTCAAAGTGGTCATTGTTATTTAGTGTAAAAGCACACTATTAGTCACTATACGTACTTTTAATACTGTTGATGAACCCATCGCTGTTGTAATGGAATCCCTTGTTCAACGGGGAACTCCTCGCGCTCTTAGATTGACTTTGAACCAAATTCTTGACGAAGCTGAACGAGACATGCGAGACGAGCGATAAATCACTTCCGGGTGTTTGCTCTGCCGCCATGCGGGGAAAACCTCGTTTTTGGAGTTTGACCTTGGGGTCATGCATAAATATATAAGAGAGGTCTAATAGTGTAGACTGGTTCCCGTTCGTTCCTGCGACAGACTGAAGCGGAACAAGTGCAGCGACACCAAGCGGAGGATCCGGGAACCAGTCTATCTAATAGTGTAGCGCCTGCGCAGCATACCCAATGAACCAGGCTGAGAAAGAATCCAGTTAAGGGAGCCCGTGAAATAGTATAATGTAACCCCATTCACTTCCTTTTCAAGTCGTACTCCATTTGGCATCACGTGTTTTGTAAGTTGTCTGGTGGAAAGTTGTCCTTTTCTCTTTGGTTTTGTTGTCAGTGATGTAATTTGAATTAAATATAATATGACCATGAATTATGGTAGCCTCAGTTGAGAAATTAGCCTTTCCAGCTGAATATCAAACACTCGTGACCTCTGTAGCCGAAACGATGCCTCATGTTCTGCCTAATCAATGCCTAGATAAATCCATTGAAAATTGTTTAACCTATTTACTAATTTTTGCTCACCTGACTCAAAGTCAAGTGGTGTCGCGGTGCGTTGTCCGTCGTTACGCATTACATTTTCGACATTTTAGGGAGCTGAAACGTTTATGAATGCAGCATTAGATATTGGCACTATCCTGTAGTGTTTTGCTATATGTTATCATTATAAGGACTAGTGGACTGAAAATGTAAGTTTCTACCGCTGTGAATGGGTGAAGGCTAGGCCTGTATGTGATTTTGATTTTATAGCATGGTAGATCTAATATAGCCGGCAACCTCGGGGTAACGCGGTACTTGTTATGTACGCTAAACGGAACAAAATACACTCGGTATACTTTGATTATTTGTGTTCTCGGATTTCTCTATCAGATGTCATTTATTTAATCTAATAATTCATTTTTACTGATAAAAGTTCATTGTTTACATTAGTAGCGCCTTGTAAAAGCCGGGCCTCTCGCTCAGTTAAGCCGTTATTGTCTCCTAATAGATTCTGCCTACAGAGCGTGAAAAATTCTGTTACCTTATTAGTACCCATGAATATGCAGATGATCTAGTTCAGATCGATTAAGTTTACTTAGGGCGACTGTGGCTTATATCATTGTCCCTTGATAGATGGGCGCTCCGGCAATATCAATAAGATGTCAGAGTAAGTATATCAACGCCTTAATCAGAGGTCCAGAAACGGTCATATGCACCGGACATGCCCGATTGGGAATCTCAAATGTCCGGTTTAAAATATTGCTAAGCGGACATGTAAATTTTTCTGTTTGGACATTTTAATAAAACAAACAACGCTACCTTCGGGGTCAAATAATTGATGAGTGTTATCGTATCCCTTCAGCGAATTCAGGTGAATAAACAGGTAAAACAAACTTGGTCCATAAAAGTATGAAATTTGATATAAAACATCACTAGACATGATGATTTACCACTTAAAATGTATTTCCTCCTTTCCAAGGCATTGTTTTATATGCAGAGATTAAGATTACCATGTGTATTTTCTCGTAAACTAAGCCGGAATAGCAATCAGCTGTGCACACGTCTCTCCCAATCTACCGGTGATTCAGTTAAAAGGTACCCAATGATGCAACTTCAAAGAATTTTGATGCAATGGTCGGAAGAAATTGTATCTGAAATTATTATTTTAATATTATATATTTTTGATTATTATTATTATAATATATTCCAATATCGTGTTATTTTAGTTGCAGTTTCCACCATATATACATAAAAATTTAAGAACCATAAGCGTAGCACTTGGTACAGATGGTATGCAGGATATTTTTTGACGTATGTAACGATTTTGACCAGTCACCGTAGGGACTTCCTGCACAACATGTATATTGATTGCGAAAACATTAGGTTGACATTTAATAGTCAAACTGCTTCATATATGACTTTTGGCGAGTCATGGTACAGCATTTATGATATGTGTATCCATTCTCTTGCAACTAAAGTTCGTTTCAAGGTGTCAATAGTGGTAATCTGAACATGGTTGCTGTAAATAACGGTGAGTTGTGCGATCTACAGATCACTTCGCATACAATTTCGCCGAAATTATTGTAAACATCATTATAATTATTGAATGAAATACTGAATAAAATTAATCTAATATATTGCAAACTCTAGTCCAGATTAACAATGAACAATTTTTTTTATCACCAGATATTATAATGATAGGATTAAATTGCGTACTTCAGTTCAGATTTATTGACTGGTATTTCCGGTGTTACATGATCGCGGTGATCAGCTGATAATGTTTTCTGAGATGGGGGGAAAACATTGTCATTGGAAAACTTGAGTTTATTAAAAAATGTTAGTAAATTTTGGGAGCTATGCTTTACCGCGCGCAATAACGAGGGAATGCTGTACATAACAACTAAATGCAAATGTCCAAGTGGGATTTTAAATTTTCCGGACCCCTGGCCTTAATATATCCTTACTTCAACTTTTATGACACAACAATTAGAATTAATAAATGCTGATTTTCTGGCCTACCTCTTGAATACAGTATCGTTGGATCATGTGTTTTCGGACGTTGTATGTTTTCGTAATCGGGACCAACTCGTGTTATTATGGGACAAGCAACATCTACCCACTTGTGTCAAACTAGGCATCATTGATCATTCCAATCGGTGAACTGTTGTTGGTTCGGCAACAGTGCAGTTTACCGGGCGAAGCCAGGACTCTACCACCCGCTCAATTACCCCGCTGTAACGCGACTGCTGTCTCGCTATACTGTGACCGTGGCTCACGCTCCAGAGACTCCCAACACCCCTTGGTGGTACTTAGGGAAACTTACACATCTTTACTATCCAACACCCCTGGGCGGTCCTTAGGGTGGGGTTAGGGTTAGGGTTAGCCACCAAGTCTTACCTTTCAGGGACAGGCTCCTGTGAAGTCACCTATGACATCGCGGGTTGTAAGCCAGTTGACAAGTCATTGCATCGATTGTGATACGGAACACATCGTCATACACCATAGCGTGGCCGGATTAGTCGTTCATGTTTACAAAACAATGGTGGGTGTGGCTTCAACAAATGATGAATGGGGAGGCGGATCTTGACGTAACACGCATGCGCAATTCATTGTTTATTTCATTGTGCATGTGTGTTAATGGGGTGCTAATGACCTGTTAAACGAGCACTGAGCATCTGTGATAGCGCTAGTGGTCCAGTGGTAGAGCATCAGCTAATTAACGCATTAATTAGCCTAGCCGGTGAGCCGGCAAAATGCGTTCGAACCCCCACAACGCTAATTGGATCTGAAAAACTGCGCCCGGGAAAGTGCACTACTCCCGTTGGTTTAATTATTGTATTGCCTTTGAACTTCTTTAATACCAGTCAACAGAATAAACATAATCTGTGTATTGTTGTTAGGTAATAACTGTTTATTGCTATTACGTAAGTGCTTTCGTCAGTGCTATTAAAGGCCGAGAACAGTGGAATTTGCTTCAAGTTGTTGCTAATAGTTTATCAAAATGTAAGTGACAGGCGGACATGAGATTTGGAATTTACTGATAAGGGCGAGGGGACTATGATGGCTGGAATTACCTGTTTGTTTATACACAGTGGGAGCTTGCTTCTGCTGCCCCGTCTCCCAATCTCAAGCCTCTCCCCACTGTCTGCAGTTAGCCTTTCTCCTTGTATTGAAGGATAAGTCCATGGGTGTTCTATCCTTATAATAGGCAAGTCTAGATAAGTGGTCAATCTGAGGATGTCTTTTATTTATATTATCTTGAAATTAGTATTTAAATGATTGATTGTTGCCTTAGAGACTTGTGCAAGTCTATTTTTCTAGTCCGTTTGCCACTTTGGTATAGAAAAAAGGAAAAACTCACTAGACACTTTGTACAATTTATACACTTTATAAACTATATACGATTTGTACACTTTGTACACTTCATAAACTATATACACTTTATACATTATATACTTTATACATTGTAAACATGTCATTATGTCGCCGAGTCAGTATCATGTAGTCAATCACCAACAGTCAATATGTACTCTCACATAATTCTACATAATAATAGATAGCAGGAGAAGGTTTAACAAGTACTTCATTACTAGTTTGATATAACTGATCTTGGTACATACAAATATATTACGTTTACTGTTCAGAGTGCTGTTTATATACGAATGATCAAATTCGCCAAGGTTTTCAGCATGAAAACAGTAATATTATTTACAACTGCTCAAAGATAACGCCTCTTCAACACAATATATGTTGGTTGTTCAGTTCATGTTCTCTATGAATAATCATATATAAATATTTGCAAGTCACTGGAAATATTCAGCAAAACTACAATGAACATTCTTCAAAGAAAAAGTACTACTTCTACAATAAATTAAAATTGTTTGTTATCCAAGCTTTATACTGGAAATAAGTATACAATAGTACCGGTAAATAAATATTGGTATGTCGGCATTATAATGAACAGTGTCTCAAAATAGCATTTAGGATTCCGACAATATACATTTGTCATTGCAAATAACTACTTCCACACTAAAGTCCTACTTAGACCACTTCTGTTGTGATAAATATCCATAACCATAAATTCACATCTTGCACAACTCGAAAATTCGAGATAAAAAATCAACTTTCAGGTATGGAAAAAGTATCCAAAACATTAAGAATATCAAAATGTTATTAAATGAGAAGCACATCACATCATCTCAAAGAGAGCTTAAAATATGTACAAATTTCCAATTTATATTAACTGGCCATAAATTAAATAATCTAATATCCTGCCTGTAATATAAGCGATGTTTTTCACTCATAAAAAGAAACAAATATTGATATGACTTGTGTATATTCACATACTTCATACTGATATTTACATAGGATCGAGATAGAATTAGGTGATCACAGTTTGTCACAGGTCCATGTGGGTCCTCACTGATTATTGTCAGTCTCTTCATCTGAAACGCTTTCTCTCTCATCATCAATATCACTGTCACTCAGGTTATTCTCAGCTGGCATATCACCTTCAGAATTAACCGTCTGTAGTAGTATCCAGATTCTGTCCACAAATTTAAAACTTTTCTGCGTGAAACATTTTTTCCCAGTGCTTGCTTCTGTTTGGATGTTGTACTCTGAGTCGCTGGTATCTAGACGAGAAAGGTCTGTCCACATGTTCATTCCAGTCTAAAATAGCCAGGCTCATTCTTGTTTTGTACATTAGTGTTTTATAATGTATTCTCTTGTCCAGATATGCTAAATATGCATTGTTAAAAGACTCTACATAAAATGTGCTGTAACCCAAAATATAGTCCAAAGGCGT